TTACATGCATGAATGCATGACTTGGGTTCAAAATCATGCCATGAGCTTGGATTTGAGTTTGGGTTTGGCTAGACTTTGAATTTGGCTCAATTGATTGATCAGATTGGTCTGGATAATTGTCATGAGGAGTTTGGAAAAGTAATTGAGTGATTTTGAATTGATTTGGAATGTCAATTTGGTGGAATTTGAGCTTTTGGTTAATTTTGGGCATTTGGGTCAGACTTGAGCTTGAATTGAGCTAGGGTTCGGATATGATTCAATTGATGGTTCAATTTGATCTAAAAGATTGTCATGAAGAATTTTAGATATCAATTAGGTGGAAATTTTAGAGTTATGGGGTTTAATTTGGGAGATTTGGGCTTTTGGTCAAAATTGGGATTTTTGGCTCAAGTTGGATTTGGGTCAGCTTTGAGTTCAAATTTGGGTCAAGATTGTTCAAACTGACTTGGGGAAGTTTCATGAAGAGATTGGAGTTCAAATTTGGGGAAATTGATTTGATTATGGAGTTCAATTTGGGGAATTTATGGGTATGGCTAAAATTGGGGATTTTGGATTTAGATTGAAATATGTTTTCAAATTAGGTTTGGATTTAGTTTCAATTGAGATTGGGGATGATGAATTTGAGTTTGGAGTTGAAATTGGGGGAGATTGAAGTCTATTTGATGGAAATTGGGGATGAATTAGGGAATTTGGGCCTTTAAGGGTAATTTGGGGATTTTGGTCAAAATGGGTCAATTTGGTCAAATTGGGCCTAATTGAGTGGTTCAAATTGATTTTGTGGATATTTGGAGCGATTTTGGAGATTTTGGGAATTTTTGGAAATTTTGAGGCATGAAGGACACTTTGGTAATTTGTTGAAATTTGGGGCTAAAGTGGGTCAAAATTAGGAATTTGGTAAAATTGGGATTGATTAAGGACGGTAATCATGATGTCACTCTATTTGAACCATAGGACCAAAGGAAATCCCATTACGGATTCTCCATCTGCTGGTCTTAGCCAACCCTAGCCCAGGACTAATGGTTTAGGGGACCATCCACATGAGTTTCCAATATATTAGGGGATCAAGCTAGGTATGTTTGGGTTGAGATTTAGGTTGTGAGTGCATGTGCAAGTGTGTGTGTGTGACGGACTGACCAAGACCACACCACCCAGGGTTATCCCAAAGACCAAACAGTCATATAGGGACTCCTCTTGAGCTCCCTCATATTGGTCCTACCTATTAAGTGCTAGAGGTTAGAACCAACTTGTGGAACTTCAAGATGAGCAACGAAGAGTTTAGAATTTATATTGGTGAAATTTTCTCAAGCACAGGAGGTGTCTGAGAATAATTCATTCCATATTGATCATTTTTTTATATTGCAGTAATTAGAGCAGCCAACATAGATATTGCATCATAATCATGAATGCTAGCTACTCTTTTTAGGTTTAACCTTTCAGAGGACCATTAAAAATTATTAATAGCTATCTTTTCAATTAAAGAATACGCTTCTTCAAATGGTTTTGACATTAATGATTCACCTGCAGTAACATCAATTATTGATCTAAGAGATCTAACCAGTCCATCATAAAAAGTTTGAAAATTAACCAATCTAACAACGCATGGTATGGACACTTCCTAAGGAGATCTTTAAATCTTTCCCACTCTTCATAAAATAATTTCCCTTCAAACTGGCAAAAAGATGTAATATCATTTCTAAGCTTAGCAGTTTTTTATGGTGGGAAATATTTAGATAAAAATTTTTGTGATCAACGTGTTAACGAGTTTAACCACATATTAGCTTTATCCCTCAGAGAAAAAAGAAAAAGTCTAAGTCTAATGACATCATTCGACACTCCATCATATTTAAATGTATCACACAATTCAAGAAAACTAGCAAGGTGTAAGTTAGGATCTTCAGTCGGTGTTCCCCCAAACTGATTATTTTGTATCATTTGGATAATAGCAGGTTTAAGCTCAAATGAATTGACAACTTTCATAGGATTTTGTATACTCAAATGAATTTCATCTGTTGTAGGATTAACATAATCTCTTAAAGATCTCTGATGATGCTCATTTTCATTTCCAAAATTTTTTGAGTTGCAAGCCATTCTGTTCAAACTATCTCCCTCTTTTTGTTTTTTTCAAATTTTTCTATTTTTCTTTCTAACTCCAAATCGTAAGGTATTAAACTTATTGATCTTAAACTACGCATAAACAAACACAATAAACAATAAAAATAAGCAAACACACTAAAATATAAAATTATTTTAAAAAAAACTACAAATAATTTTTCAGTTCAAATAATCTGTTCTCAATTAAAAACTAATTTACCGTTATTCCCCTGCAACAACGCCAAAAATTTGATGTAGAGGACGGCTAACACTAATAATAAATATGCAGTTCAATCCCAATAAAAATAAATTCAATAAAATAATTTTATCTTTTAAAATTTCTAAGCTGTTAAACCCGTAATAGTAACGCAAGTATATATATCGCTCAACTAATAAAGGGCTCTAATGGAGTCATAAGTATTGATCTCACATGGTGCCAGAAATTCTTATGGATATAACGTCAAATACATTATTCAAACTATAAAACTTAAGTACGTAAATCAAATCTAAAGTAAATTTAATGTGCACTAAATGAAATGTTGTTGAAAGAACTAAGTTAAATAAATTAATTGCTAAACTTCAAAAATAAACTTATACAGACTAAAAAGAGTTTTAAAATGAAGAGTTCATATTTAAGAAAATATCCTTCCCCTTACAATGAGTTTGTAGAATGTGAAGAAATTAAAATCCTTTAAAATACATATGAAATTTTATTGTGACAAATAGGAACAGTCTTATTCTTTGCCCTCTGAGAGTGCATAAAGAACATTGACTAATCTAAAGTTTGGTCCCTAAATCCATGGTTAGGTTGAGAGGAGACTGAATCTCACTCCAGAGCTCTCACTTCTCCCTCGCCCGAGGGCTAACAATCTTGTTTTAGTTTTCAAGCAACTCGACCAAATTGGGGATTTTTATCTGTAGCCTTAAAACTTCTAATTATGCACCCATCAAAGTATATTTTCTTATTTATTTGCACCCAATCTCATGAATTACATTCTTAGCCATGAAATTGAATGTGACTCTTACCTTGTTGTAGAAAGCATAACCCTTTCAGATCATATGTTTCTTAACAAATTGTAACCTTTCAATTGGACAGATCGAAAAGTAAATGAAGATCAGAGTTCAAATCATCACAAATTATTGACATTTAAAACCATATAAAATAAAATCAATTCTTCATAAAATCATATCTCAAAGTAGGGAGAAGGATAAAGAAGACTACTCATAATTCATAAGAAGAATATAACAAAATACGAATTTCATATATAAAAATAAGTTTACCAAATAAAAGAAATAAAAGACACAACTTATCTCACAATCTTTCCTAAGCAAATCCCTAGAAGTTCCATTTAAACACTTTCTCTCTTTACAATCATACTCAATTCTCTCTTAGAAGTGTAATGAAAAAGAAGTCTCTCACCTTCCTTCTCCTCTTATAACCCTAGAAGAAAATCCTTCTCTTCTCTCTCACTCCAAACTCTCTCTCTCTCTCTCTCTCTCTATCTCACGCCCCCTCTTCTCTTCTCTAAACTTTCCTCTTTTAATTAGGGCCCAAAAGGAATCCAAAATTCCCTCAAAATTTTCCACCCAAATTCACACCTTTTTGTACCAAGAGATAAGTCCCCTCATCCAAGAGACATCTTTTCATTAGAAAATCTTTCAAAATGTCTAGATGCATTGAACCACTATATGAGACGTTTGAAATGTTTGGAGCCTTTAAAATCCGCTCAAAAATTGCCACGAACCGACTTACTCCATCTTAATTTGTCTCTGACGCTTCTGACGCCTCTTGCGCCAGCCTAATGAAGTCCGCACTGTTCTCTAGATTCTGGCGCTTCTGGCGCCAATCTAGCGCCGCTTAATGAATTCCAAGTTGTTCCTGAATTCTGGCGCTTCAGACGCCAATTTGGCACCTCTGACGCAACTTCTCTGTAAAATGGCGCATTTGGCGCCAAAATCACAAAATTCTCCGTTTTGATTTTTTTGGCTACTTTTTGCTCAAAATACCTAAAATTGATATAATTGCAAAAAAATTTGAAAATACTCTTATTTAAAGTGCAATATTATCAAAATAAGCATAAAATGTACACATGAAAAAATATTATTTTGGTGCATCATTATGCACAGTAGTGTTGATTTCTCATCTCTAAATGATATTATTGATCGTGTAAAATAGTTGGTCAGATAAAAAAAGAATGATGTATATCGATTAATTTATAGACTTACTATATTGGCTTTAACTTTACCAGTCGTTATTGCTATAATTGAGAGAGCATCTTCTGCAATGAAAAATATCAAAAATTGATTATGCAGTGAATGAGTGATGACTTACTTAATAATTATCTCGTACTGTATATTGAAAAAGATGTATTTGATTTGATTTCGAATGAAGCTGTTATGCAATATTATGAAAATATGCAAAATAAATTAAAATGTTTGTAATATGTTTTAATTTATCATTGACAATGAAAGACAATAGTTTTTTTGAATTGTGCTATATACTTGATTTATTTATATTTTTTTAATATAAGAAATTTGCTCTTCTTAAAAAGGAGGTTGATTTCGCTCTTACTTTTATGAATCTTATTCGAACTGTGTTCAAACTAATTTTTACACGTCAAACTTAAAGAAGTATTTAAGAATAAAAAATGAGAATATTTTGCTTTAGGAAAGAAACACTTAGGCATATTTAATCGAGAAAGAAAATATCAGTTATATTTTTTTAGTTATTATTATTATTGGGCATTTCTGATCATACTTCTTCTCATATATAGAATAAATAATAATTTATTAAAATTAGTGTAAATCCCCTTCAAAATAAATAACCCTAAACACTAAAATTCCTATTACCGGGCTTGGCCCATCTAATTCCGAGCCTACCCCGCCCCACCTGGGCAACATGGAAGCAGTCAATCTGGCCATATCCCAAAGCGGGCTGAGAACAAGATGCATCTTGCAAATCTACGCTCTTGCTCTTCCCTTTCTATCCTGCAACTTGCCGGATTCACCACAGATCAGCTCGCTTCTGCTGCGAATCTGGCTAACCCGTGTCTATCTTCGACCCCTCCTCTCGCTATCCCGGGCACACAGCTGCAGTAACCTCCCTCGAAACCGTGTCGAAAGCAGCACCCGTCGGCGCACTACGCTGCTGTCTGCTACCTCCCGTCGGAGCCTTATCCCCTGTCCGCGCACTTGTACCGGTCACCTGACGCTGTTCAAGCCCCCATCGTCGCCCTAACAGCCGTCTCCGGGTTCCTATTCGCGCTCTGAGCACCATCTTCCAGCCTCCCGTTTTACATATCTTCTTGATCTCAGGTTTTTTCTTTTGCTCTTTTGAAAGTTCTGTCAGTGAATTTTCGTTGTTATGGCAGTGATAAAATTTTCTCTTTAATACCAATGAGATTTGAATTTTTTTATGGTTGGCGGTGAGATGATTTTTGCAATGATAAATTTCTCTCCGAAACCGAAACCGAAACCCTCACCTACATCCTCACCCTCTCCTGGTTTCGCCCAAACTTCACATCTCCGCCCAAACCCTCGGTTATCTCCCTACCCGTCCCGGTTTAGCTCCAAACCATCGCCTTCGTGAACAAACCTCCACGATACAGTTGCCATTAGAGCTACCTGGGAAGGCAACGGCGGGATCACGGCGTACATAGACCACCCAAACTCCCATCTTTCTCATCCTTCCGCTCCGCTCCTTCCGGAGACCATTGAGGAAGGTAAGCCATTTCGCACAATTCTTCCTCTTCGCTCGTCCCGGATTTACTAAATCCGCCTAGTCACGGGATTTACTCAATCCTGGATTTACGGCGAATCAGCGTCATTTTAGGATTTACCAAATCTCAGGATTTATGGAGATGCATTTTGCCGTTTGCAGGATTTAGCTTAAGTCCTGCATAAATTTTGCTTAAAACCGGCTACCAAACAGCCCCTGAACATTAGAGTTCATGTTTTAATTAACTTTTTGTTAGATTAGATGTGTAAAGTTGGCGTAGCAATTACAAGACAGTGAAAAATGATCGTCTTATTTGGACGAGTTTTGTGGTGACATAGAGTTGGGTAGAAATCAAATAGTTCATAAAAAAAATGTTTATAACCATAAAATTTTATATAGCATGCCGGGAGTTGATTATAGTACCACATGTTAGCCAACCATCATACTTTGTTCTTTGTACCAAATTCAAAAGAAGAAAGAAAAATCCCTGTATTTACTTCACTGCCGAACGAAAAACTATGAGTTTTTTGGATACACTTGCATTTATTTTGCTTTTGAAAATGCATGTATTCTTATTACTTCCAACCAAACAATCCTCAAATAACTTCAATGATTTGGTAGTGATTTTTGTCTTGTTGGACATTGGTCATCATTTCTTTCATTCTAAGGTTTGAATGAAAATTTTGCTAACATTTGCTGAATTTCGTTATTTGCATGTAGAGCAACACAATGAGTTTCCACCATGCTAAAGGAGGGATTTTTGATGGGCTGCCTATTCCTGCTGACAAGGCTGTAAGAATTACTGTTTAATGTTGTCCTATTTTCTCTTTTCTTTGATTTTAACGCTGCATTGATGATATTTTTTTGTTGCCATTCTTTGTTTAATAATATCATATTTGGTTGGAAATAGGACCTTGGAACTTCATTGAATTGAATTCAGTGAATAAATCGTAATTGGGATTCCTAATTAAGATTGCCGAAGGTTTCTTTTAAGTTGATATCATGAATATTGGTTTGCCGCTAGAAAAATAGTGTTAATGATTTCTACCCGTCACGAGCATTTTCTAAGAAGTTTTGAACAATAGTTGCTATGATATATTTGGAATTTAGTCCTAAATGATTGTTTTCCTAAATGAGCAAATGATAATGCACTGCTGTTTAGGTTTCCATATAAGCGATGTTAACATTTATATAGCTTTTTAAATTGTTATTTCTCAATTCCAAAGGTTCTTATTCTGTTTTTGTTTTTTTTTAATGTATTTTATCATATATTGCTTAGGTTTTGGTTGCTGAGGCCTCAAAATTGAATTTATGACGAATTTCCATGTGAACTTTTTTTTATTTAAAATTTCTTATGCTAACTGAAGCCACTTATTCATCAAAAGTAGGTTTTATCTTGATTGTTTACTACAAAATTCTTGTGATATTTTTGAACTGAAGCCGCTTATTTCATTCTTGCAATATCGATTGTATTTTTCTTTCAGTCTTGCTTGGATCCATATTTTCATTTAACTGATTCTTCCCCTTTCTAGTATATTCATATTGTTTAGCACTCTGTACGCCTGATGTAGGCGTCTGTTCCCGTGGGATCACATGATGCATGACCTGAGATTACTTGGTCCAGGCAAACAAAGGGCCAACCACCCATTAGATTGCATAGGATTGTTGCCCCTTGATAAGAGTGGGGCTCCAACAGTATCTCAATTCGAGGTGGTGATTATCTTTAACTTCCCTTTCCTTTGCTTCCCTCCACTGCTGATGTCGCTGTACCTGCTGCAGCCACCCATAAACCACTCTTATTGTCTTTTTTTCTTTTATCCCGCCTTTTCGGTCCAATTGCAACCCCTTTCTACCATTCCTTCCTTGCTGCCAGCCACCCAACATCCTTTTTCTTGTCACCTTGCCGTGGCCCCAGCCTTAAGAACCAACTCTTGCCCATTACCTACTGTTTCGACCGCACCACATCCACCTCCCTTGCCGCCTACATGTTGTTCTAGCCATCAGAACAACCCTTTGCCATTGCCCACACCTTTGGATACAACCTTCATTGCATTTATGTCGTGTCTGTTACTATTTCTTTTTTTGTATTTTCCTACTTTTAAATTCAACTATAATATTTAATTTTCTCATTTTTCTTGGTTAACTCCAACATCATTTGGTATCAAAGTTAACATAACCCTAGTTACATCCTAGAGTTATCTAAACCACCATATCTAACCCAAAGTTTTTCTTTCCGACCCGACATCACATCCATACACCTACCTACGCAAATCCAAACACTAATCATGCCGCCGAGAAGATAAATGTCAGACGTCAATCGGGTGTTTACCATGGAAGAGATATGAGGATAACTCCGCTGAGTGTTACGACTCGATGAAATTGAGGACAAGACTAGGAAGAGGTCATTGTCAGCCTTGATAGTGAGATCCAAGGAGGAGAGCGAGAGAAACATCTGAATTTTTTTTGTAGGGATAATTTCAATGAAGAGAAGAATCAACTTCGATGCTTCTAGATGCATTATTAGAGGAGGGTGAAAGAGAAAGTATTTGTTGGAGGATATAGAGAACTTAGGAGTTGGATACCAGATTTTGAGATAGAATGAATCCAGATTAATTCGTTAAGTGGTTGCTGATCGTTGAGGAATCTTTGAATAGAAAAGGTATGAGTGACAGAAGAGTGAAGTTCACTACCATCAATCTGAAAAAAGCTACTAGTTGTGGTGGGAGAATCTGCGGAGGGAGAAATGAAGAAAAGGATGGGAGAAGATCACTACATGGCAGATGAAGAAGGCGATGCAGCGATAATACATACCCCCACTATTGCTAGCATAATTTCTTGAAGCTGAAGCTCCACCACCTGTAGTAGAGTAGAGGGAACTATAAGTAGAAGAGTACATAGTGGAATTTATGCAGCTTAAGCTGAAGTATGAGCTAACAAATACAAAAAAGCACACGACAACTAGGTATTTGGGGGGCCTGAAGCCTTCAATCAAAAATGCGGTCCAACTACAACCTTATTAAATATTGAGTGATGTTTAGACTTTGTAACTGAAGGTGGAGTGACAACAGAAGCATGGAAGACACTCACCGCCTTTCAGATATCCACCCACACCTTAAGACATCATTAAGAGCACGCATAAGGAAGTTGAGAAGACTGGCCAAGAAATTGACAGGCTGCCCAAAGTGAGATAAGATATGAGAAGAGTAACACTCCCAACATAGTTACAACTAGGAAATGCTTTAGTTGCCACTGATATGGACACATCATTTCTAGTTGTTCGATATGCAAATTTGTTTCCGTCATCGAATAGGATGCAGTGGAGGAAGTGATCGACGAGGAAGCAACTAAAGAACAGTGTAAGGAATACTAGCTTCTAGCAGATGAGGGCGAGGTGCTTGTCGTTTGATTTGCGCTTCAAACTGAGGTTATGAAGGAGCAGCAGTGGCTTCGCCACAAAAAAAAAAAAATTATACCTGGTTCACAGTGAAGGGAAATGCATGCAGCCTCATAATCGATGGAAGTTGCAGTAAATATGTGGCGTCCACACAGATGACGGACAAGTTGAGCCTTATGACCCTGAGGCATTTCCAGCAGTATTCCTTGAGGTGATTGAAGAAGATGAATATGGTCAGCATTGACAATAGCTTCCTTGTGGAGTTTTTTATTGGAAATTAGCTTCAGGGTTAGGTGTGGTGTGAAGTGGTGTCTATGGACTCCTGTCACATCTTGTTGGGGAGGCCATAACAGTTTGATATCTAAACTCAACACGATGGATTTAAGAATTCTAATTCATTTACCAAGGATGGAAAACACATAAATCTCCTATCTTTTGTAGAATTCGAGGTTACATGTGCTCTTGCTAACGGAGAAGCCCATTGAGGTCGAGTTTGATGATGATCAAGTATAGCAAGGCTGATGAGCTGATTTCAGACATGGGGTAACCACTATAGAGAAAGTTCTAGGATATTTTTACTGACAACTGGCTGCCAGAGCTGCCACCATTAGAGGGAGCAGTCTGTCCTCACGTCAGTTAGGGTTGAACCCACCTTGGACTGCTTTTGGAAGACCCTATAGAGCATATTAGGCACAAAGTCTTAGTTTAGTTCAGCAGTGTACCGTTGGATGGTTGGATCGATATGGATGACTATTTGCAAGTGGGAAAACATCTCAGGTGTTTTGGGGAATAATGCAACCGTCCGTGGGATCCGTGTGTCTATATCGATGCAGTCGAAGACTCTCTAAACCCGGCGGGCTGCAACTGCTCCTCTACCTTCAACGTGCCTAAATTGACTCCATTACTATGAGGAAACATGAGCTTTGATGGCTGAGGTTGAAGTTTCACCAAACTTGGGAGATTGAAACGGGCATTTGTTTCCCGCGGGATCGCTTGATGCACGGTCCGGGACCGCTTGGTCTAGGCAAACCAAGGGCTTACTAGCCCACCTGATTGAATAAGATTGCCGTCGACTAGATAGGGGCCACTTCTTAGCCACTCTAGTATTATATATGTTGTTTCTTCGTGTTTTAGGGCGGTTTTTGGTGAGTTTTCTGTTGGGGCAGCCATCGTTGTCTCTTCCTCCCTTTTAGGGCTGTATTTAAGGGCGAGTGGTGCTCCAATTGTATCTCGTTTCGAAGTGGTGGTTATTCTAGACTTCCCTTTCCTCCGTTGTCACCGTACCTATTGCAGCCGCCCGGAAACAGCCCTCCTTGGCTATTTTTCTGCAGTCCCGCCTTTCCAATCCGGCTGCAACCCCTATCCATTGTTCCTTCCTCACAACCAGCCACCCAACCTCCTCTTCCGAGTCACCTTGCCACAGCCCCAGTCTTCAGGACTAACTCCCTGCCCATTTCTTGTTGTTCCAGCCACCTCATAGCCACCTCCCTTGCTGCCTACCTGCTGTTCCAGCCATCAGAACAGCCATTGACTTCTGTTCCAGCTGGCCGTGGCCATATGCTTTGCCACCTCCTCGCCATTCCGGTTTCTAGAACTGCCACTTCTGCCGCCTTGACTTTTGTCCAGCTGTCCAGAGCCAACTACTCTTCTAGCGCAGCCTTCCTCCCCTCCTGTTGCCCTACTCCCACAGACAGCTTCCAACATCCCACCATCAACAACCACAATCACCTAACATGCCCCTTCGACCTGCCGAACCATCCACCACATCTTTGGGATTCAACCTTAGTTGCATTTATGCCATGTCTGTGCTATTTTTATTTCCGCATGAGTTTTTTTATTTCCTTAATTTTGAATTCTGTAATAATATTTGATATTCCTGTTGTTGGTTATTTTCGGTATCAATGTGTGGATTTAAAAGCAAATTCTTTTTAGGTTAGGGACTGTAATTCTTGTTCTTGTAGTTTTTAAAATATGATATTATTTTACCTTTAATTGCATTTCCCGATGCTGTAGCTTAAATTGGGAGATCAAAGAATGATGCTTGCATTTTTATATTTGTAGTAGTCACATTTCAACATCCTTAAACTTGTATCATCTCCACTGGAAGTTTAATATGTTAATTTTATACATTGTTTGGAAAGTATTTGATCGAATCAACTTCATTTTGATCATTATTTTTTCTGTCTTTTAAAGTAATGTTTTCTTTGCAGTACTTAAGAGAAGGACTCTCAAGAATAGATGAAAGTTGGGCCGCTGCACGCTTTGACTCATTGCCTCATGTGGTCCATATCTTGACATCAAGGGACCGTGAGGGTGAAGTCCAGTTCTTGAAGGAACAAAGTGACCTTATTGAAGATGTTGTGGATGAAGTTGTTCACGCTTATCATCATGGCTTCAATAAAGCGATTCAGAATTACTCCCAAGTTAGTCTTTTTTACCTGTCATTAACTCTTTTCCATTTTATGCTCCATTTCCTTTGTGAGTATGCGTTCCTCTTCTTCACTCTAGCATATTTTTTGACTTGTTTTCAATCACAATATGTAGATCTTGCGGCTATTTAGTGAATCTGCTGAAAGTATTACCTTATTAAAAGCTGACATGGCAGAAGCGAAGAAACGTCTTAGCTCTCGCAATAAGCAACTGCGTCAAATGTGGTATCGGTCTCTTACGCTTCGCCACATGTTATCTCTGCTGGATCAAATTGACGGTGTAGCAAAGGTTTGTGGTATCGTCCAACTTATTTTTGCATGCATGCATGCATTTTTTTTCTATGGTGAATATTTTTCAAGTTCCTTACTGCTCTTTCATGCAACATGGAAATTACATTCGAGTTTTCGAGTATTGTTATTGTTCAATCCTATTCTCTACTTTCTGTTCCTGTTTCTTCTAGTTTTAATTTTTCGTGGACATTTGGGTTGAGGGTGTTTACTAGCAACTTTGACTGTCATGACATTCGAGTAATCAAACCCTAGTTACACAATATGTGGGAAGAATGATTTTATGTTGCTTTATTTTGAAAGCTTTTGTGGCCTAACTTCCTAAAATGCATGGCTGGTTTTGCCTTAAAGAAATAGAAAAGTTAATAAAGAAAACCCTAGCATGGTTATAATTGACATAATTTCACATATCCCATGTAATTTATTTGTTCCAATCATGATATTCATATCAATTTATGTTTATAGCATATGCAGTGCTTTAAACTGGTTAGGGTCCCATGTTTATGAAAATTCATATTTTAGCCTATTTATAGTAAAATGCAATATGTAAAATTATTTCATCTTGTGAAACCCAAAAAGCATATAACTTGATATTCATGAACACTGATAAGATAGACATCATGGCAGGTTCCTTCTCGAATTGAGAAGCTTATTGCAGAAAAGCAACTATATGCAGCTGTTCAATTGCATGTTCAGTCATCATTGATGCTTGAGAGGGAAGGTCTTCAAGTGGTTGGTATTATTAGTCATTACTTGGGATCTTTGTTTATTCGCACTCAAGTTTATTTAAGTTCCTTTTTTGTAACACTTCAATGCTGCTTTGCTTTTATTAAATTGGACAACACAATTTTTTATTCATAGGAGAAACTTGTGATGGAAAGCACTATACTGCATATGCACCTCCTTGGTTTCTTGACTATGGTCTGCACGTTTGAGATGTAATTATTCAGTTTCTATGGGAGCACTAAGGACTTGTTTCATATAAAGCCCGTCTTAAAAATCAATTTTGATATCGTTATTAAACTTACATATAGGATTTAAAATATAATGTCCAATTTCATAGAGTTCTAATACTTGAATGATTTATGTTGCTGCTATGATCTAATTGCTAAAAGCTTTAGTTGGTATTCCAAACTCTTTTGTTAACTTAATGAAAAGCTGTTCTTGCATTGCTATATGATACTTCATGATATTGTACCAATTAATTCTTTTGAGTTCTTAAGGTGGTTTGCATTTTTATTAACCAGTTTTTCTGGTATAAACAAAAATTGTTTTAAAAAATGGCATTTACAGTTTGTTCACCTAGGATTAGTTTAGAACAGCCTTTTAATTGCTTTTGTGGTAGGAAAGAAAAAAAAAAGTGCCTATTTAGATGGAAAAACATTAAAACTTTTTTCTTCTCAAAATTTTCCTTGGAAAATTTTTTTTTGGGAAGACAGTAGAAGTTTTGATTGAGAAATTAGATTTGAAAAAAATTGACAGAAAAAAATATAAAAAAATAAAATAAAGTCTTAGCATGAACAAATTCTTCATTTTCTTTATTTTCTTAGATACCGTTTGTTTGCATTATTTGCTAAATAATGTCTACTCTCTAGATTTTTATTTGTTAAATACTGTAGACTATTTTATTTTAAGTATGTATATTGATACTTTTGAAATATCTTGTTCTAAAATTGATTTCTCCAAACCTGTGTTGTTCTCAACTTCAAATTGTAATGAAGGCAGCATCATTATTAAGGGGTAGCCTCCTCTATGAAGACAGTATGAGACTCTATGAATTCCTTATTGCGCATAATACCCCATTTTCTACATCTTGCTACTGAAATGATGATAATAGAGATACTATCTTTTCTACAAGTAGTCGATCCTTCATATTGTGGTGGCTGCTAACTGTTGCCCAGAAAATATGCATTTCAATATCCGTCCCTGATCTTGATTTTCTTTATTTTTTTTAGATTTGCTTAAGAACTACTAATGATTGGTCCTTCTATATTTACGTTGCCTTTCTTGGAATCAGTAATCTAGACGACACTCATATTAATATAATTTCTTAGGTTGGTGCTCTTCATGATGTTCGGTCAGAATTAACCAAGTTACGCGGTGTACTTTTCTATAAAGTTCTGGAAGATTTACACAGTCATCTTTACAACAAGGGTGAATACAGGTACCTGCGTTTAATGATCTTACTAACTTCTTACTTACGTATATACGATAATTTCTTAGATTGGTGCAATGTGCATTTGTACTGTTTTTTATCCTGCTTTTCACATGGAATATTATGGTTTTCCAACATCAGTTTGTGCATGATTTTGTATAACTTTACCCTACTTTTCATGTTCTGTTAATGTTTTTATTGATTTAGCTTATTATACTGTAGGCATTATTTTGGTCAGAACCATTCATTTGATCTCTGATTAGAAGTTTCTGAATCTATATTTACTGTTGTTTTTGTAAAACTGTTTGTTTTCTTCAGCTCAGCTGGTTTAAACATGCCAGATAAGGATGATGAAGTGCCAAGTACGACTGCTGTTGCATTTTCAGTGAGCAATTCACATCCAATTTCAAAGAGAACCAGATCTATAAAGGCTGATTATCCCTTAAGCGGCTCAGGGTTTGTTGATGGATCTTTTAGATCCATTTCTATTGATGGGGGGTAGGCTTTGAAACACCATGGTTTAAATACTTGAGTGATGAATGCATGTTTTTTAGTATATTATTTTATACCTCAACTGAGTTGCGCTTGTGATCTTTGTATCCAAGTCAAAACTTAGTTTTTCACTAAATTTTATTAATTAGTCTTTCTATATAATATTGAAATCCTGATTTTTATTATGCTGTTATTAGCAATGACTTAATTTGAAACATTATTCTTCAACATAAACCTAACGATTATCCTATAACAACATGTATTAAATAAGTTAGCAAGTCACATGACATTAAACCGAGATCATACCTTCAGATGCACATTATTTATTTCATGTCCAGATTGACTGTTCCATGCAAACGCGAGGTGTAAAAATGTTGATGCAAATGGGTCACTTCATTGCTCAAGGTTAAAGCTTTTCTAGCTCAGCTATGCTTAAACATGACCCGACACTTAAAATATTATTCAAGTTTATTCATTTATTATTTGATTGGGCAGAGTCTAGCATTTATTGAACCAAACTAATCGTGGCTCGATTTGAGCTTGAATAAATGATTAATTAGATAACATCACTCCCTAGCTTAAATTTATTCATAGTTTTTTTTATTTTTCATATGGCTTGACCTAATCTTGTCGCTATTAATTTTTATTTTTAAATGCAAGATTTAACTAAAAAGATTTAACTAAATAGTCTCTGTACAATGAAAATGAGACACCTTATCAGTTCTCTTATCGTACATGTGCTTCTACTAACATCTTCTATTATAGATGAAGCAAACAAGCACTAAACAGTAATTAGTTGATTCTTTAAAAAAGTTTTTAGCCAAATGTCAAAAGGTTATTCCATCAAGCTCATATCCGGCTACTTCTTGAGCCACTAAATAGCATTTTTTTCAACATAAACAATCAAGCTAGCCTACTATGGCTTTTGTTTTATAATTATCAAGCTTCATAAGCTGTATTCCATTTGCACATATAGTTTATTAAATAAGCATTACTTAGCTATAACCAATAAATTGTTGAGCTACCATCAAATGCATTAGTTAATTTACACTCTTGGTCATGATGCCAGTGAATTTCCCAACTCATGCATGTAACTTTGTTTCTTAAATTTGTTAGCATATTATTCAATATATTATCCAATGTCGGCAGATTATACAATGCGTATAAAATTTTAAATGGCGGGCGTTATATACATGGGTTGTTGATTTATTTTGTTTGTATATATAATTAATATAAAAATTTGACATAGTTAGGTGTGCCATTCAAACTGATTAAAAGTTTGATCATTTAGTCTAAAGCGAAAACCAATAAAGCTGATTTTGTTCTAACAAGAAAGAAATAGTTGGGAATGGAAGTTCTAAAATTTTTATGGATATTTAGTTTAATATCAAGAGATGAAAATAATAAGTGGTTTATGCTTAATGATGGCTGGATGTCATATATTTTTTTTGAGTGACTTGTGAAAATTGTAGTCATTGTCCTTAATTTAAATCCTAAGTTGCAATCTTTATTAAATTTCTATCAATTTGTGTATCTTCTTTCATCTAAAATATGTTATTAGGCATCAAACCAAATGCAAAATCAAATAAGTTAATGTTTCATCCTGCAGTAGACTTAAAAAAATTAGTTGTCTTGAGAGCACGGAGATAAAAAAAATGAGAAGTAAATTGAGTAGAAAAAATTATCAATTTTCTTTTGATGGGATAAGATATTATCTGCCTGTAGTTATGTTTATTCATTTATTGAAATGTGATAGCTGTCAGATGTTGCTGTTTATGATCTTATATAAGCTTTACCTTTTCTTATTTTAAGACTTTATCTCTGCTGATGATGCTATTTCCAGTTCCTCTGTTGATGGTCATGATGATGAGAGTAGTTTTGATGTTACTGATGGAGGTACTTCTGATGGGCATCTGAAGGATACTCGAAGCATTTCTCTTCAAATTCCATCATGGCTTTCAGCTGCAACTCCGGATGAGTTTATTGTTAAGTCTACTGATTATTTAATAGATCATATTTTGAAAACGAAGTTATTCTTAATTAACTCTACTTTTCTTATGGTCTTATGTTTGTAGGAATCAGTGAGAAAAAATGATGCTTCCCTTAGTGTTAAGTATTTACAAACATTAGTTGAATGTCTTTACATGCTTGGCAAAGTTGCTGCGGCAGGTGCAATAATATGGTAGGGAGCATCCACCTTATTTCAATAATGTAATTTTCCTTTCAGTCGTAATAACATGCCCGGTTCCTTTGTATTTACATGAATCTACCTTTTGGCTTTTATAAGATTTTTTTTCATTTAACTTTCTGTAATTTATGGGTTTACGAGAGTACTAAGTTTTGACATATTTTAATAGCGCTTTTATAACAAGTTAGAAACAATACACATTGTTCCTGCCTTATTTGCTATTTTATTGATCATTTAATGCAAAGAGCACCGCTATTTTCATCTGCAGTCTTATGTTAATTGTTGGAGGAAGGATCAATTTGAATATTTTTTTAAGATGATTTTTTTTTGAATTATCATTTGTCATTTTGGTTGCTTCAGTGATGAGAAACAAACACGGTGATGATGTTGTCAGCGTGTAGTGACAAGGTTTCTTTCTGTGAAATATTGCATTTTGCATTAATAAAAGGAAAAGCGTACAAAATGCCCAGGCAACAAAAACTGAGCCAACTGCTAGTCAAAAGAAAAAAAACATCCTCTCTCAAAACAGACCAAAAAAGGGAGGATACTCAAAATCAACCGACAAAAAGGATTCTAAAAGTGTAAAAAAAGCAAACTTGTCAACTGTATTCGGCTCTTCCAAGTTCTTTCCTTCATACTTTGTTGGCTGAGTTGGATGACATTCACTTTGTCTCCTTTGATGATTACAGCTTTCATCTCGTAGATCCATCACTCCAACCAATTTCTGATATCCAAAATGGCCTCCAGCTCATTTCTGGAGGAATCCCAATGCATCACTTTACACCCACCAGCAACCACGAGATGTCCCTGTTCCTGCCGAACCGCAAAGCCAATGCCTGCTTCACAATTTTGGAGGAGAGTACCATCCGCATTTATTTTAATCTAAAGTGCTCCATTGCTCCAGCTTTGGATGGCTAAACGTTTTAGTGAGAGCCTCCAGAACCAAAGCGGCCAAAATAGTTGGGGCCCCAAAGGGACGGCCATGCTTCCTTGCATTTCTGCTTCACCAACTCAAGTATACAGCTGTACAATAGATTGGACCCACAATAATCATGGTATTTGACAAGGTAGCTAAAATGTCAGTGGCTTGCTCAATTGAGTCGATTTCAGGTATAGGAAACCCCCATTTCCTCAGCACTTTCAAAATTTCCTTTTAACACTTACACCAGGACACAATATGGTTAATATCTTCATCATCATTGCATCCCCATGGGCACAAAACCAGCCAAGAATTAGGGACAGCATCATGAAGGATCCACCGCCGGAATAGACAATCCCTAGGATTAAGATGCAATTTTTCCAGCCATAAGGTGCCCGCGGGTTCATTACCGAACAATATGGTGCATACAATTTTGTTAGTAGTATTGTCGGATAGCAAGGGGAAGACTGCAGCTTTGTCACTCTGACCGCTGCTCAATGGCTGTACTCTTTTAACAAGAGCTATCAGCTCCAACCCTAAGTACCTCATTTGGACATCACACCATTGTCCATCTAGAATTAGATCCGCAACACAAACATCTCCCTCGCAATTGATATTTATGAACGTTGGGAATCTTATAACGGGGAGATCTATTATCCAAATTTGCCTCAAAATATTGACCATACCTCCGTTTCCAATTTTTCATCTAATACTGTTCCCAAGGCTCTTGCCTCCATTAACCAAAATGTGCCAAGCTGCAGACCCAGCTCTCCCCTGCACCGGCCTTTTTTTCTGGGACGAATTTATGTACAATTTATGATTATCAACTGCTGGTGGTTTAAGGTGTTTTGTTTTGTTGCATACAGCTTTTCAATATCAAAATACTTGGACTTGGTTTTTTGAAATGCTGAATGAATATTGAAAAAATTGCTTCCAAAATATTTTTAGCTTTGCATTTATGTGCTCCATTGCTGGTTTAGTAATTCCAAGGCAATGCAATACGAAAGATTTATTCAGTTCTTATTATCCTGTTATTATTCTTCAAATTCTTATCCCACTTCAGATTCTTTCGCTTAGTGTTCCAAGTATTTGTAGCAGTAGAATGAGTAACATTTCTAGTTAATTTTTACTACGTGATTCTTTGTTTACACTTTTGCTGATTAGGTTTGGGACAGCCAAGAATTACTCAGTTGGAGCACTTAGGAGGAGGAGGTTATTGTATAAGGATAGGCATTTCCAGTGTTATAAGTCTCGAAAGGATTGTCGGATAGGAGTACCATTGAGCATTATTACTTGTCCGCTTCTGATGCTAGAGACATACTATTATCTCATTAGATGCTTGGGGCACTGAAATAAAGGATGTAATATGATGGGAGGATAAGATATTTGTGCACTAAAAATAAGAACATGGCGTGTGATTCCTAGGAGAAGTGTGTTTTTGTAACTTATCTGGTTATTGATAGATCAAACTTGTAGATGCTGTGGCTATGGAAATCAAATAATTAATAAATTATGATTTTCATTAGTGTTGTTTTAGGTCTACACGATTTCTACTGTGATGAGTTGTGTGTATTTGTTAGTTCATTGTTTGGGTTCTGATTAGCTGGGATTTTTTTTTCTCTTGAAATTTTATGCGTCATGCTAAGCTTTTAGTTTTTGTTAAGAGTTTAGTTTTTGTTAAGAGTTTAGTTTATGCCTAAGCTTTACATTTTACAAAAAAAAAAAAAAAAAAAAATGTACAATTTGCTATTTAGAAAGAAATTTAGTTATTATTTTATTTATTTAGAAATTCAGTTCCTAAAAAAGAAATTGTCATAATTTTTTTAATCGGCTAAATATATTAACTAGATAATGATATGAATACATTAAATGTATTTAAAAAGGAGGGTGCTTGAGCGAAAAGAAAAGTAAAACCAGGCAAAAGAAAGCTGTAGTCATTTGGTTTGTCTAGCTTAATGTCTAGTAAAGCTAGGAAAGTGACCATAAGTTTTTTATGATTTTATCCATTTGAGAGTCAACACTCTAATTGCTGTAATCTGAATTAGAACTTCATCATTTTGTTCGCCAAAGGAATAAAGTTGAGTCCTTTTAAGAACTTAGAATTATGATGGATAATTTCAATATTAAATGAAGTGATCAAAACCAAGGGGTTAGGAGAAGCAGGAACAACAACTACTTTTTCTTGAGCAGGAGCTAAACCCATATCCAGGTTTTGAGAATTGATTTGAACTATTAAAAAAGGCGAGCTTCCACCGATGGATTCTTATGTGTAATGTTATGCAGCTTAAATACATGATTTCTAAGCTGGGGATGAGCCTTAAACATTTAGAGAATTTATGTCCAAAAATCTAGCAAGCGGAACAATATGATGACATTTTAAAATCCCACCTGCTAACATTTGGATAATGGCGATTCAATCCATATCTTATGAAAAAAGTGCCTCTAGTTATAAAGGGCCTATCAAAAAGCTGTTACGACATGCACATGTAAATGTTGATTGGTTGAAGTAGTGCAAAATGCAGATGAACTCAGAGAAAAAAAATCCGACTAGAGTGACGAGGCTCCACGTCACGACATGACTCGGAGCTTGAAATTATCCAAAGCTGAAACAGATGGTCTGGCGGTGGGGATTAAATTTTCTATTTAACAAATGAAATAGTTGCCAATCAGATTTAATTAAAACAATATATTTAAATTTACCTCGTTACTGGTTTTCTGCTTCTTCTATAAACATTATCTATTATATCGCTTATTTTTTAATCGCTTAATTAATTTGAAAAATTAGTTTAAAATAATAATAAGCTAAACAACCCAGTGAATACTCATTTTCCTAAACTACAACAATGCAAAAAATAAAAAAGCAAAATGTTTGTCACTTACAATTTTAATAAATCAATATTAACATATGAGATGCTATCAATGAATATTACTCTATCAATAGCTTACTACTATAATTCTATATTTGTACAATCGTCACAAGAACACCGTTTATAAATTGTAGCACTTAATGCACTTTAAAATCAATATCTTTTTCCATATACGTGCACGAGTACCTCAGTGTTCCCGTACTAGTACTATAAACATGTAACTCTATTATAATCAATCACACACATATAAACATATAATAATAGTATTTCATTCTTATTTGCATAATAGTTAATATTTTGGTACAAGATTCAATATCTACGATAATCTAAACAAAATTGAGAATAAAATTCATTAGAACTATAATTCATGAGTTTGCAGTACTGTAATAGTAACTGTAAATGTATTTGGCCGAAGAGAAACAAAATATTAATATAACAAAAAAATATGAGTACTCACCTCGATGTGAATTAATCTGTTGTTTGCGTTGCCTTGACATTGACGTTTCTAAAATGGAATGCCTCAAATAAATATGGTATTCACATTAAAATTTAATTTTTTTGACTGTATTATTACAAATATAATAATTTAATTTATTTTAATTAGCTAAAATTTATGTTATTTTACTTTATATAATTTTGCTTAAATTTTCTATTTATATTTATATACATACATATATTTATATACATACATATATACATATATACATACATATATTTATATACATACACACATATATAGTCAAGCTCCATATATATATATATATATATTACTATTAATTTTATTATTAAATTAATTAACTTTAATTTTATAAAAGCTTACCTCGACAAGCCCTAATCCACGCGGCACCGATCTTCTACCCATGAGAGCTTCTTCTCTTCTCGCGAGGGCTAAATCACACGCACGAGATTTCCTCCCCAACATCTTGCTTTTCTGCTTCTTCTACCGCGGCTCGACATCGACGTCAGCGCGACCTCTTCCCTGTGTGCAATGCTTGGCTTTGCTTCTTATTGTTTCTCCTTTGCACCGAACCCCTCAAAGCTCGATGCTGATACCTTCTCAGGCCTCCTCGTCACCAACTAGGACATCTTCCACATCGTTCGACTCCCAGTTAAGTGGTTTCTTTCGCGTCAATTAATACGTGAAAATATTTCTTGACCCTTATCGAGTCAACTTCCCTCTTTTCATCTTCTTGACTATTCGATTCTTT